GAGCGCCCTCTGTGCAGCTGCTAGCAATCCTCGGATCTTGGGTACGATTGTGAGCGCCGCCGCTCATAGTCCTACAAGATGTAGGATTGCGAGCGCTACTGCTCGCAATCGGAGGCATGTTGCTAGGATTGCGAGCAGTGCTGCTCGCAATCCTAGACTTTGCTCGGATTGCGAGCGCGCTGGTAGTAGTCGTAGGCGTCACCAGTCACCTTGGGAGCGGAGCTGCTCTTAGTCCTAGAAGATGTAGGATTGCGAGCGTGGGTGCTAGCAATCGCACAGAGATGCTACGATTGCGAGGAGTGCTGCTCACAATCCTTCGACTTCTAGGATTGAGAGCGAGGCTGCTCTCAATCCTTCCGGTCTAGAAAAGAAGGTTCACCGTCACGGCAGCCCCCGGTTCTTTCTCTTTTTTGTTGAATTCTTTCTCGTTTTCGGCCGAACAAAGAAAACCGCCGGGAGAATTCTTAAGATACAAGCCTCTCTCACAGCACACTGGCACGACAAGGGCGCAGACTGGCGCCGGGAGAAAACCTGCGCGGTAGGCGCACATACATTCGGGCAGGCGGCCGCGCGGCCGGTCGAGGCCGGCCTCGGGCCGGCTCGCGTCGGCTGGCCGCCGCCGCGCGCGCGCGCGCTGCTCGTCGCCGCTTCGCTCGCTGCGGCGGCGGCTGCGCCGCAGCGCGGCGCGGCTGGCGGCGCAGATGCGCACGCTTCTAGTCTGTCGGCGCGGCAGAACGAATGCAACCAGGCGCGCGCAGAGGGTGGTCAGGAGGAGGGCGCGAGCGGCGTGCGCGCGGGCGTGGCCGGCAGCGTGGCGGCAGCGCTGGCGGCTGCTGGCTCGGCGGGCTTCCAAGGCCGGCGCTCCTTGCGGGCGCCGGTGGGCACCGCGGCGGCACCCTTCCGCCACACCTTTGTGGCACCCCCCCCTCTCTTGGCGCTTTCTTAAGCGCCTGAGCTCCTCCCGAGGCTGAGCTCATCCCTGCATCTCTGCAGAATGTCCCTTGTATATACGAGCGTCATCTTGTAGTGAACAGGCCGACTTCGTGGTTTGAGCGCCCAGCGCAGACCGACCGACCGCAGGGGGGGGTCCGGTCGACGGCCGCGGAAGACCGCAGACCGGAGGGGGGTCCGGTCGGTCGGAGCGCAGACCGATGGGGGGGGGGGGTCGGTCAGGTTGGCTCGTGGGTCACACCGCACACGCTCGCCGCAGCTGTGAATAAATTAGTCTCTCGAAATACTAGAGACACAAGCGCCCTCTCCCCCCGTGTAATCACTCCTCGTCCGGAGCGGCTGCGCTCTAGAGAAGCTCAGGGTTGGGTCGGAACACAAGCTCGTCAATGTCCCCGCCCACGTCGAGCCGATGAGCCCGGTGTGCGGTGAGGGCGGAGGCGATGTGTCTCGATCACAATTCTGCGTGTAGTCATCGGAAGGGACGATGCGCGCGTACTGTGTAGAACTGGAGCGCTGCCACAGAGTCAGAGATTGTACAGAGCGACGGCAAGCACAATCAGGCCTGCCTACGCCGCGTGGATGCTCCACATACACGTATGTGAGTCGGGCTGGCTCGAGCCTCCTTCGTTGCGTAACTAGTTTGCATAGCGAAACCGGCGATTTCGAAGCCTGTGGCGGTTGGGTTCGCTGAGGGGGCGTTGAGGGGGCTCAATGCAAGGACACGGACCGAGGGAGGGGTCGGTCGTCACACACCTCCCGCCGCCGAGAGAGCGACCGACCGGAGGGGGGGTCCGGTCCACCTCGGGCAGACCACCGACCGGCGGGGGGGTCCCCACGAAGTAGGGGGGGTGGGTTCAAAGTGACGCTCGTATAAGAGAGTGCGTTGAATCCGCTTTCTCTTTTGGCCCCTGAGGGGGCCGTCTGCTGTGTCCTTTGTAGTGCCAGTCCCGTACCCGGCGCGCGAGCGCTTCTTTTGGGCGGGGTGCATGTGTGTATGCTTCGCCGGGTCGTCGTCTCAGCAGCGGCCCGCGGCGGCGCCCTCTCGCGTCGGTCGTCTCCGCCGCCGCCGCTGCTCCGCACGCTCTGCGCCGCTCCGGCGAGCGAGGCCGCTCCCGCGCCACACACGGCCCTCGCGCCTTCTGTACAAGCAGCCGGCCCGGCGAGCACGAGCCACGAGGTGCTGGGCCTGCCGCCCGACGCGTCGGAGCTCGATGTGAAGCTCGCCTACTACCACCTAGCGCTCGCCTACCGCCCCGACCAGAGCGGTCGGCCCGACGCGGCGGAGCGCTTTGCAGAGGTGGGGCGGGCATACAGCAGCATCATGGGCGAGCCGTGGGACGACGCGGCGGGCGTGCCGAGCGCGGCTCCCACCCCTGCCGAGCCGGCGCTGCAGCCGGCTTCGCACGTGCCGGCCTTTCCGCGCTGGGTGCACCGGCTCTCCGAGTACCTCGAGCGGGTGCCGCAGGCGGCTCGGCGCACAGCTGGGCAGTGGAGCCGCCGGAGCGGTGTGTGGAACTCGCGGTAGGTGCCGCAGCGGCTCGACCTCTGGCTGATGCCCTCGTACTCGTCCGTCATCTACCACCACCTCCGCGCCGGAGAGCTCGCGCAGGCGCTCTGCACCTTCGAGGCGAGCCCTTCCTAGACCTTTCCTCGACCTTTCCTGGAACCTTCCTGCAGGCGCTCTGCACCTTCGAGGCGAGCTGCGGAGCTCGGGCGGGCGGCCCTCTGTCTTTGCCCCTGACCCTCGCGCGCTCTCGCGTCGCGCGCAGGAGATGAAGGTCGAGGGGGAGGTGCCGAGTCACGCCGTGTACGAGATGCTCATCCGCGGCTGCACGATTGCGATGCGCAGGGTGGGGAAGGGCGAGGTGCCAGACCACCTCACCTCGAACATGCTCAAGGCGAGGAGACACTTCCACACTACTAGACACTTTCTTAGACCGACCACACTCCTCGAACATGCTCACGGCGAGGCTGCCTCCGGCCATGCCCCGACCTGCGCCCGGGCCTGCTCGCGAGAGCCTGAGGCGGGGCGTCGCTTGGTCGCAGGTTGTGATGCGGCTGTGGAAGGACATGCACGAGATGGAGAGGCGAGATCTGCCGAGATTTGCCGAGATTCAACCCGAGACTGCTGGGATGAAGAGGGCGTGCGCGAGACGGAGAGGCGGCCAGACTGCTGGAGCCCTCTACTGCCGCAGCCTGCCCTCTACTGCCGGAGCCTGCCCTCTACTGCCGCAGCCTAGCCCTCCAGGCGGCCAGACTACTGGACGTACAACGAGCTGATCCGCGCCTTTGGCAAGGCGGGCGCCGTGCCGCAGGCCCGCGCGGCTCTTCGCGGCACGCGCCCAGAGACACGGCCACAGACACGGCCACAGACACGGCCACGCCATCTCCTGCAGGCCCTCGAGCTCTTCGACCACATGTGCGGCAACGTGCGGCTGCTGCCGGAGGAGCGGGCGTTCAACTCGATGCGAGCAACCCTCTGCCCGACCGCCCCTCGCTCGCCCCGCCCCACGCCTCCGACCCGCTGCGCTCAGGTACGAGATGTGCGTCCTCTCCGGCAACTACGCCGCCGCACTGCAGGCCCGATTATATTATATTATATTATATTATCATAGTATAATATGCAACTACGCCGCCGCGCTGCAGGCCGGATCGCTCGAGCTTTGGACGCGTCGCGGACATGTCCGGGACGCGGCACGGGGTCGGTAGGTCTTTGACGAGCACGAGGAGCTGCGCAAGTCGCTTTGGAAGCCTCGGTACACGCCCGTCTCCTTCTCGCTCCTGCTCGCCGCAGTGGCGCGCGAGGGCGACGACCTGCACAAGCGGATCCAGCAGCTGCCGCGCGTGCTCGCGCTGATGGACCGCCACGCCGTCTACCCGCGGGCAGAGGCCTGCGAGAAGCTGCTCTCCGCCTGCATCGCCACGCGCGAGATCGGGCTCGCCGCCGAGGCGCCGGCCGCACGCGCTTCGCTGCTCTGCCCTCGCTGCTCCATCCTCGCTGCACCGCCCTCGCTCCACCCTCGCTCCACCGCCTTCGCTGTTCCACCCCGACCCCTCACCCGCCGCACCTCCCGGACGGGCAGGTGATGAGCCTGATCGAGCGCGTCGGGCAGGACGTCGACCCTGAGATTGCAGCGCGGGCGAGGCGCACGATCGGCGAAGGCGAAGGAGGCGCGGCCCGCAGCCTTGACGAGCCCGCTGTGGAAGCAAAGCTCGAGAGAAGAGACAGCAGCAGCAGCTGAGAGCCTGCGGCCCGGGAGCGAGCAGCGTGCTGCTCCTGCCGTCGGCGCGGTTTGCGCGGGCCATTGCCCATTGGCATTGCCCATTCGACACGACTGTTGATCTCTCGCGAATCTCCGAATCTCTCAAGCAAGCGGCTGATACGTTCTTTCACGTAAATACGTCAGTACATACACCTTCTCGATGCTTGAAGGGGTAAAGTACATTCGGACACACGTTAAAAATCCGCCATGCGCGCTCTCTAGATGTCTAGTCGGCAGGGCTGCTGTCGCCAACAGACTCGAGCGCCTTCGACCCCGCGCCAATCTCTACTCTACTCCTGCCCTCGCCGTCGCCCAGCAGCTTGCCGAGGCGCGACGCGAGAGGGCGCGGCACGTACGCGACCACGCGGCAGCCGGTGTCGACGTACTCCTCCTCCACGATGGTGCCAACCTTGTGCATCTCGGCGAGCAGCTCGCCGTTTGCGTACGGCAGCACGCACGAGACCCGCACCGAGAGGGAGAGCAGCGCCTGGATGGGAGAGGGGGGAGGGGGGTGTCCGTGTGAGGGCGGGGCACGAGCCGCGGGCCCGAGAGCGCGACGGCGGCGCCTTCTCGACGGCGGAGAGGAGCTTGGGCAGGTTCTTGCCCTGCGTGGCCGAGATGGCGACCGCATACGTCGGCGAGACGGTGTCGTGCAGCGAGACCCACTCGGTGGGGGCGGGGAGCTTGGCGGTGGCGGCGAGGACGGCGTCGGCCTTGTTGAGGGCGAGGATCTGCGGCGTGTGCTCCGCGCCAACCTCGCGCAGAATCTGCTGCACCGACCACGCCTGCTGCCGCCCGATCGGCGAGGAGGAGTCGACGACGTGCAGGACGACGTCGGCGTCCTCGCACACCTTGGGGCGGCAGGTGCGAGGGCAGGGAGGTGCGAGGGCAGGGAGGTGCGAGGGCAGGGAGGTGCGAGGGCAGGGAGGTGCGAGGGCAGGGAGGTGCGAGGGCAGGGAGGAGTGCGGACACGTGTACGTGTACGTGTGTGGAGGAGGACACTCGCCTCGAGCGTCGCGCGGAAGGCGGAGACGAGCTTGGTGGGCAGCTTCTGGATGAAGCCCACCTAGACACTTCCTAGACACTTCCTCTAGACACCTCCTAGACGAGCTTGGCGGGCAGCTTCTGGATGAAGCCCACCGTGTCTGCGACCATCACCTCCCGCCCGCCGGGCAGCCGCAGCCTGGACATGTCATGGACGTGTCATGGACGCGTCCCCTGCACACCTCCCGCCCGCCAGGCAAGCCGCAGCCTGCGCAGCGTCGGGTCGAGCGTCGCGAAGAGCTGGTCGTCGGCGTACACCTCCTCGCCGCCCTCGACCTTTGCGCAGAGCTGGTTGAGCAGCGACGACTTGCCCGCGTTTGTGTAGCCGACGAGCGCGACGAGCGGCATGGTGCCTAGACACTTCCTAGACACCTCCTAGACACTTCCCTAGGCCCTTTCGACGAGCGCGACGAGCGGCATAGTGCCTAGACACTTCCTAGACACTTCCTAGACACTTCCCTAGGCCCTTTCGACGAGCGCGACGAGCGGCATGGTGCCCCGCTTCTTGCGCGCGCCGCGCTGCAGCTCGCGCGTCGCCCTCACCTGCGCTTATACTATGTACATGAGAGCTGCGGCGTGAAGAGCGCCTCTTCACGCCTCCGCCTCGGATAAGGCCGCGCCCCGTCGCGCTCTAGGAAGCGTCTAGGAAGCGTCTAGGAAGCGTCTAGGAAGCGTCTAGGAAGTGTCTAGGAAGCGTCTCAGGAAGCGCCTGCTCGAGCTCCGCCTCGATGCGCGAGATTTGCTTGCGGTAGAGCCGCCGGTCGCTCTCGAGCTGCGACTCGCCGCTCCCCTTGAGGAACTGGCCGCCCGCGCCTGAGGGACGTGCCGCGGACACGTCGGGGACGCGTCCCACCGGCGCCCCTCGAGAGGAAGCGCCCTCTGCGCGCCCTTGCCGCCGCCCGCGGCGCCCCCCTTCGCATCCATGCCGGCGCCGGTCGTCATGAAGGACTTGAGCCGCGGAAGCATGTACCGCATCCGCGCCAGCGTCACCTGCAGCTTCGCCTCCCGCGTGCGCGCGCGCTGCGCAAAGATCTGCAGCCGCAAGGGCACGGGGCGCGGTCGCGTCAGTCTTGCTCCGGTCATCGCGACCGCCACCACAGGTTCCGAAAGGGAGGGGGGAGGGGATGGCGCCTGCAGAATGAGCATCGTCCGGTCGACGACCTGGAGGCGCGCCGCGAGGTGAGGCAGGGCCGGGGTGAGACTCCGGGGTGGGATGGTCTCGGGGGGAGTCCGGCGGAGGCGAGAGGAGGAGGGGCGAGAGGCGCCCGCCGCCAGCAGAGGAGAGGCAGGGGCGTGCGGCGCGGCCGCAGCTTGAATCAAGCGCCTGCACGCCGAGCGCCGACTGCAGGTTGCGCTGCTGCGCGGGCGAGAGCTCGTCGTCGAAGACCACCGTCTCGATCCGAAGCGCCTGCGGGGCAAGGCGAGGCCTCGCGAGGGGCGGGAAAAAGACTCCGCCGCCATCCCCTCCCGGCGCGAGCGCCTCGACCGAGTCGCGAATCTCCTCCAGCTTGCCCGACCCGACGAAGGTAGCGGCGCTCGGGTGCTGCACCGCCTGGCAGCAGCGGCCGCGCACGTCGAGCCCTGCCGTGTCGCAAAGCCTCTTGAGTTCGTCGAGCGAGTCGTCGAGCGTCCACGCAGCGCCGCGCTCGGCGTTGCCTGCGAGCGTCTTGTACCGCTCGCGCCGTATGTCGAGGCCCACCAGGTACGCCGCGCCCGACCGGATCGTGATGTCCTCCGACCCAAACGCGCCGCCGCTGCTGATCGTCTGCTCCGAGCCCGCCTGCATCGCCGCGGCGGCAGCGCGGGCGCACGGCGCCGGCCGCAGCGGCAGCACGACCGCGGCGGCGGCGCACGGGAGGAAGAGGAGGGCCGGCATCGGACGCCGAGACAAATGCCGCAGGCCGTCCGTGAAGAAAGAATTTAGCCTGTCGTTCGATGTAGGTATATTGTTGGCAAAGGTACCTTGAACGGCGCTTCACTTGAATGGCGTTCGCTTCGGCCGGCCTGCCGCCGCCGGTGCTCAACGCTGCCGCTGCCGAGGGCGCGGCGCGCGGCCGCGACGGCGCGCAAGAGGCCGATGATGGCCAGAGACTCGGCGTGAAGCGCCGCCTCGACGGCGAGCTCGCGAGCGCGCGCGTCAACGACGACGACGCCAAAGAAGGCGACACCATTATGGTGGACGCCGCACAGATGGCCGCTGCGGCGGCCGCCGGCACCGACCGCGGCACGAAGCGCCTGCTGCACGTCGCGCTCGCGGCGCGCGACGGCTCGCACATCCCGGACATCCAGAACAAGACGGCGCTCGTCACCGAGGTGCGCCAATTGATCAAGAAGACACCAGGCGGCGAGGCGCAGCAGGCAAGCGCGATCAGCGTGCCCATCATCGGCACGTCGCGCGCCATCTGCGTCGCCTTCAGCGGCGAGAGCGAGGCACGCGCCTTCCTCGAGCAGTACGCCGGCGGTGGCGTCCTACAGCTCCCAGCGCCAGACAACATCACCATCACCTTCGCCGCTCTAGACGCCACCGTGTGGGGCAAGCAGGCGGAGGCGCGCGAGACCCAGGCGACCACGGACTCAGACGGCCTCCTCGCCATACGCACGCGCGGCGCCATCGACACCGCGGCCCAGATCGAGCACTTCGCCCCCCTCTTGGAGAAGCACTTCGGCAACATGGTCTCCATCCAGGAGGGATACCACTCCTTCCTGGGCACGAAGTCGGACGAGAAGGACGGCTCGATCCTCTTCAAGGTGAAGAACGAGAACCTCGTCTGCAACCTCCCGGTCCTGCCCAACGTCTACGCGAGCGGCGATGTCGGCGGACCCCTCCGCCTCGACGTCGGGTGCGTCAAGGTCCTCGGCAACAAACTCTGCCCCTCCTGCCGCGCATTTGGGTTGACCAACGCCGACATCATCCACGACGCGCAGTGCGCCGCGCAGGCGCTCAAGGAGAGGCGCGCCGCAGCGGCGAACGTCGCCAAGAAGAAGACCTTCGAGAGCCTCATCGTCGACAACAAGGTCGAGGTCGCGCGCGCGGCGGGCAAGGCCAAGGCGATGGCGGCGCGCGACGGGATCGGCTTCTGCCCGGCCTTCAACCAGACCGCCCTCCCGTGCAAGACCGCCGCTCGCTGCCGCTACGCGCCGTGCGTCAACTTCGAGGCGCTCCTCCACTCCGCCTTCAAGGACACTATCTACGAGCGCATGCCGAGCGCGGTCAGGCTGGGCACAAGCCGCGGGCGGCGCGGGCGCGGCGGCCGCGGCCGCGGCGGCGGCGGCGGCGAGGTCAAGAGCAACAAGAAGGACTGGGCGAGCGTCGCCCGCGGAGCCGCCCGCTCCCCCTACGACGGCGGCCCACTCCTCGAGTCCAACGAGCCCTCGCTATACGGGGGGAGCGACGAGGAGCTCTAGGAACGGCCGCCGAGCCCTTCCCGCAGCGCAACCCTAGCAACGCAGCGGGCAGGGCGGCTCGCGCAGCGCGCGCGCGCGATCGCGCAAGCGGCGCGCGAGAGCGAGCGAGCGAGCACACACACACACACACACACACACACACACACACACACACACACACACACACACACACACACACACATGTTGTACACATGCACAGACACACAGCCCCTTCCCCTTCAAGGGCGAGGACACGCGCAGGGGTCGCACTTCTAGCGAGGCCCACAGAGTGGGAGACTCCTATCACCGCCACTGCCACCCACGTGTCAGTCTGCCTGTGGTAGAAGAGACTGCCGGTGAGAAGTCGGAGGAAGGTCGCTAGTCGAGAGAGATCGCCAGTGGATAGGGAGTCCACCGTGCTGCGAGCCTGTCGCTGTCCCTTGTCAGGAGCAGGAGAACTAGGAGAGCGCAACCAGTAGGAGGCCCGCGCTTGCCCCCGTGCCGCCGGGTGCAACCTGTCCTATACGAGAGAGGAATCCCTGGGACCCTGTCGTGAGGGTGAACCCTGCCCAGCCCCCCTCCGTGTCGCGATGCGCTCCCCGCTCCCGTTCCCCGGTGTCCCTGATCGTCCTTACAAGATCCTGCTCGTGCAGGTGGGGACCCTGTCCTTCTCCCACCCCTCGTTTGGCGTGCCCGTTGTATTTATTTATTTATTTATTATTGTTGGCAAATCAAGACACAGAGCTCACACAGAATCACAGCGGGAGGATTGTCGTTCGATGCGCTTTTTTTTCCGCCTCCCTACTTTTGTCTTTTTTCCTGCCATGCCTCGTTTGGTTGTCTGTTTTCTTTATTTTTTGTCTGTTGCCAACAATGTACCTATAACTATTTCTTGTGCTCTCGTGCGATTTCGCGCCGGCCGAAAAGAAAGAAACAGGCCAAGCCAAACGAGAGGGATGGGGGAGGAGGACAGGGTCCACACCTGCACGAGCAGGATTTTGGATGGACGACCAGGGGCACAGGTGGGGAAGGGACACGACAGGCTCGCAGCGCGGTGCACGGTGGACTCCCAACTGCCCCAACTCCACTGGCGGTCTGGCGGTATCTCATCTCAGTCTAGCGACCTGCCTCCAGCTTCTCACTGGCAGTCTCTCGCAGCCACAGGCACACTGACACAGGGGTGGCAGGGGCGCCGGCCAGCGAGATGTGCCGCACGAATTCTTCTGCCAGCCAGAGTCGGAGGGAGCCTCCAGCTGGGCCATCCCTGCGCCTGGACGCTGCACGCACTCCCACCCGGCAGATTCACCACGATCGAGCTGTCATGATGGCCGCCTCCATCCTGTCTGCCCTCCCTGCGGCGCCGCCCTCCCCGGGCCCGTGCGACATCTACGCCTCCGCCGGCACGCCCTGCGTCGCGGCGCACTCGATGACGCGCTCGCTCTTTGCAAACTACAGCGGCCCTCTCTACCTCGTGCAGCGATCCTCCGATCTGGCGTCCGACGTGGTGGTGGTCAAGGAGGGGCTTGCGGCGGTGGCCTCGCAGGATGCCTTCTGCGCTGGCACCAACTGCACGGTCACGCGAATCTTCGACCAGACCGAGCGCGGCAACCACCTCAACCGCGCGCCGTGGGGTGGCGCCAGCAAGCACTCGGAGAGGGGCGTCAACGCCGCGCGCCACAAGCTGTCCGTCGGCGGCCGCACGGTGTACGGCGCCTACTTTGAGGGTGGCATGGGCTACCGCTGCGACTCGACCTGGGGCGTCGCCACCGGAAACGAGCCCGAGACAATGTGCACGCGCCCCCCGGCCCTGCGTGGTGCCTGCCTGGCGGAGGAGCGCGAGAGAGGAGCGCCTCACGCCCCGACCCCGTGTGCCGCCTGCCTGGCGGAGGAGCCTCGAGAGAGGAGCGCCTCAAGCCCCGACCCCGTCTGCCGCCGCGCGCCCGCTCCGGCTCAGGTACATGGTAACGGCGGGCCGCCATTACAACGGAGGCTGCTGCTTCGACTATGGCAACGCCGAGATCGACGCGCTCGACCACGGCAAGGGTACGATGGAGGCGATCTACTGGGGCGACTCGAAGGGCTGGAGCCGCGGGGCGGGCGACGGCCCGTGGGTGATGGCCGACATCGAGAATGGTCTGTGGGCGGGCAAGGACAAGGTGGAGGCGTCAAACACGCCCATCACAGGCGCCGAGTTTGTGACGGCGATGGTCAAAGGCGGCAGCAACGGCTTCGCCCTGCTCGGCGGCGACGCGACGCGCTCGGACGGCCTCAAGAAGCTGTACGAGGGCCCCCGCCCGCCAAAGTACCAGCCGATGAAGAAGCAGGGCGCCATCATCCTCGGAATAGGAGGCGACAGCAGCGACTGGGCGGTCGGAACATTCTACGAGGGCGTCGTGACGGCAGGGTACGCGTCGGACGCGACCGACAAGGCGGTGCACGCCAACATCGTCGCGGCGGGCTACGGCCGGTAGAGCTAGCAGCTACACACTCCGGGGGGGCTCCGAGGCACACAGCGGGACCGGCAGCGCTCTCCATGTCTACACTCGTTTAAGATCGTGTCGTATTGCACTCCCCGCGGTGCGCCGCCCCGCCCCGGGGCCCGGGGACACCCCCAGACAACCGAAAACATCAAAAATGCCAACACACTGTCAGAGAGAGAGGGTCGCGGACTCGCACCACCGGGCGCACACCGCGCGTGGCGACAGTGTCGGTGTCAATGTCGGTGCGCCCTGTGCGACACGCGCAGCACGAGAACCACAAAAGAGAACGGAGAGTCAGACGAGAGCTCTCGAGCCTCGACTGCACATCCGAATGGGGATGGGGGGCACACGGGCGCATGCAACTCGGCGTTCAAGCTGTGCACAGAATCGGCGCGCCCCCACGCACATGCACACGCACATGTGCGGAGTGTGTGAGGAGACTGGAGAGGGAGTGATGCACTAGAGCCCTCCAAAAAGATCGTCCCTCGAGCGCGACTACACGCGGTCGACTTGCGGCGGTGGCGCCGCCTTGTCCAATTCCTCGGTGTCGGAGGAGAGACGGCTCGTCGACGGCTCGTCCGAGCATGTCGGACGCTCGTCTCCCCCGACCAGCAGCACGCCCGCGTCGCCCGCGTCGCCCTTGACCGGCTTGACCGAAGGGCCTGCAGAGCTGGAGCCTGAGGCGGAAGGCTCGGCCAGCGTCGAGGAGGAGCGCCTCTTCCGGCGAGGCGAAAGTGACTCGGACACGGTGCGACTGAGCTCACGCACGGACCCCTTTCGAGCGCGACTCGGGGTGGCGCCGAGCACCTTCGCCAAAAGGGCAAGGGACACCTACGATTCGACTCCCAGGCAATTCTCTTGGCCTGAATGCCGGAGACACGGCGAGGCGGGGGACGCGCGCGCCTCGCGGTGCAGACCCGGGAAGCATGCGACGGCGAGGTCGCGGTAGATACCGGAAGCAACCAGCTCTTGCGGTGTGGTCTCAAAAAATCGCGCAAAGGCGCAGCCGTCGCGGTCCGGGTCGTTCTCGTGCGCCATGACGATGGGTAGCCCTCGGGCGATCCTTTGCGACATATCCTTGGCAGTCAGTGTCCGCAGAACAGGGTTCAGGGACCCCGCCGGTGTTGGGCTCACAGTCACAGCCGTCGTTTGCGCCCATCCAATGAACTGGACAGCCCAAAACGAAGTCGCAGATGGAATCGGAGGAGGCGGGGGGTGAGGGTGGCTGCGCCAAGCATGGCAGTAATGATGGCGGCAGCGGCGGAGGCAGCAGTGCCGCCGTCGCCCCGATCCCAAGCGCGAGGAGGGGGAGCATCGATGACGGGTCGCGCGCCCGCTTCGCCAAAGCAGTAGGCCTTGCGCGGCCAAATCACGCTGCGATGTCGAAGTCGCCGACGCCCCACACAGGCCAAGCAATTGCCTAATAAGTTGCGAAACCCGGCGGCGGGCAGTCTTGAGTTTTTCGGTCTGCAACGGAGAGCAGATTCCCTCCGAGATCCCGCCTTTTCTTTCCCCCCCTTCCCATTCCTCTTTGTCAGTTTTTAGTTTTTCTTGGCCTTATCCGTGGAGAGGAACCCCACACTGGCTAATGTGCACTGGTCATAAACTCAGTCTCCCTCTCTCTCTCTCTCTCGGCTGTCTCTCTCTCTCTCCGTCCGCGGCACAGGGACACTCTCGCGCGCGCCCTCCGTGCCGGGTCGCGCTAGGGGCAGTCGCAGAGGCCGCCCTCCAGATTGGGCTCTCCGACAAAGAAGCAAGCGCCGCGGCCCGCCGGCGAGGAGGAATCGCCGTAGCACGCCGGGGTGGACGGGCCGCACCGGCTGCAGCGGTGCGCGCTGTTGCCAGCGCCGGGCGAGCAGGGCGTCCCGTCGCAGGCGTTGCACGAGCAGGTCTTCGAGGAGCCGGTGAAGGCGATCTTGGGCGCCACGCTCACGCTGACGGGCGGCTTGTAGGAATCGAACCAGCCTAGGGGGGATCCGCCGCCGCCGCCGCCGCCGCCACCCGACGGCGCCTTGGCAGCCGCTTCTCGGACGGGCTGGCTGTGCGCCGACTTCGGGGCGGGCGTTGCCGTCGCCCACTCCGCCTCGGCCAGGCGCAAGCCGTCATCCCCAAAGCCCGTCGGGGGCGATGGCGGCGACGGAGGAGGCGGCGGAGGCGCGGGGGGCGGCGGCGGCGGCTTTGAAGCACGGTGCGGCCCCCACTGCTTGGCGGCGGCGGCGCCGCCGAAGCGTCCTCCGCCGCCGAAGCGTCCTCCGCCGCCGAAGCGGCCTCCGCCGCTGCCGCTGGCAAAGCGGCCTCCGCCGACGGGGCGGGCCCCGCCGTAGGAGTAGAAGTAGGAGTATTCGTACTGCGAGCTGTCTGTGAGGTCTGCGGTCACCCCTCCGCTCTCCTTGGAGGCAGAGGCGATGGCAGCGGCGGCCGCCTTGTCGCCCACGCCGACGGTGACTGGCACGTTCGTCTCGACCTTGACCTCCATCAGCGTGAAGAAGCCGTCAAAGTCGCGAGCAGCGGCGCCGGACGCGTCGGTCGCGGCCGCAGCGTCGGCGGAGGCCAAAGCAGAGTCGGCTAGAGGTCGCCGCGCTGCGCTGGAGGTCGCCGCGCTGGAGGTCGCCGCGAGGCCTCGCTCCTTCTCAGGAGGCGGCACTGCGCGGACTCCGAGCCGGGAGCCTCCATCGTAGTAGCCGGCGCCGTAAGAGCCCGCAGAATAATAGGACGCAGCTGCCGCGCCGTATGAGTAGCCCTTCTGCCGCCGCCAGGCCGGCCGCCTCCTGCCCTGCCCCTTTCCGTGCGCCTTTCCGCTGACAGACTTTGCATACTCCAGTGCGAGCTGGGCGGGCTTGTCGCCGACTCCGACGGTAGTCTTGACGTTCGTTTTGACATCCGTCTTGGCGAACAGGAATCCGGCGTCGAAGAGGCGGGCGCGGGTGCTGTTTGCCCGGCCGTCTCCTCCTTGCAGCAGAGGCGGCCACGCGCGAAATGACACGGAGAGGAGGGCGAGCGAGAGGAGGAGGAGGGCAGCTGCGGCTGGCGCCCGGGCGCGCGGAGAGAGCGGCGGTGTGGCAATCATCGGCCCCAAAAGTGGCGCCGACTAGCTGTTGGTCTTGCGGTTCGTTATTCTCAATTTTCTTTTCTTTGGCTTTACCAGTCTCGGGCATTTTTCATCACGGATGGAAGAAGACCCGGAGCCGCGCGAGCCGCCAGCCGAGGCTTTTGTCTGCGGCGCGAACGAGTCTGGCCAGCTCCTCGGCGGGCCGGTCTGCGACGCGCTGCTTAGTCCGGTGCCGCTGCTGCTTCCCGGCGTGCGTGTCGCTCGCGTGTCGCTCAGCCTGAGCCACGCACTGCTGCTCTCGGATGAGGGCACCGTCTTTTCGGTCGGCGACAACTATTGCGGCCAGTGCGGAGTGCACAGCCCGGAGCAGATCACGTCGCCGCTCCGGATCGAGGCGCTCAATACCAAGGCGGTCGCGACCGTCGCCGCGGGCGCGCAGCACTCAGCCGTCGTCACCTCGGACGGCGAGCTGCTCACCTTTGGCGCCAACGACCACGGCCAGGGCGGCCACGGCGACGGAGGCGCGCTCGACGTCCGCAGGCCTCGCCTCGTCCACCTCGGCGCTGTGGCGGACGTGTCTTGCGGCGGCGCCTTCACGATCTTGATCGACCGCGAGGCGGTGCTCTGGGGCTGCGGCTCCAACGTGCACGGGGAGCTCGGCACCGCACCGCCGCACACACGCCTCGCGGGGGTCGCGGCCCTGACGAGTGTTGCCACTCCGCAGGCGTCGGCGACTTTGAGGGCAGGGCCGCCCCGACACGGCTCGCCTCGCTCTCCGCAACGCCAATGCGCTCCGTCGCGGCCGGAGAGAGGCACGCCGTCGCAGTCTCGATTGCAGGCGACGTCTACGCGTGGGGATCGCGCCGTCACGGTGCGTTCGGCCTCCCGCTCCTAGCTCACGCCCACCACACGCCCACCACACGCCCACCACACGCCCACCACACGCCCACCACACGCCCACCACACGCCACCACACGCCCACCACACGCCCACGACACGCGCACCGTTCGGCCTCCCGCTCCTAGCTCACGCCCACGACGCGCCCACAACGCGCGTCCCGCAGGCGCGCTCGGCCTCCCGCTCCTGGCCGGCTCGGAGGCGCGCGGCCTGCCCACACCCCGTGCGGTGCCTGCGCTGCGCGGCCGCCGCGCTGTGGCCGCCGCGTCCGGCTCCGACTGGGCGATGGCGCTGCTCGAGGACGGGAGCGTCTACTGCTGGGGCAAGGGCGTCCAGCCGCGAGGCGGCGGCGGCGGGGCGAGGGGCGAGGGCGGAGGCGAGCCCCCCTCGCCGCGGAGGCGCGCTCTCTCCGCAGAGGCGCTCAGCTCGGCCGCGGGCGCCGCTCCGTCTGGCACCGCCACGCCGCAGCTGCTCGAGCTGCCGGCCAGCTGCACCGCCGTGGCGGCCGGCCGCTCGCACGGCCTCGCGCTCTGCGGCGGAGGCGACGCCGCCGTCTACTCGTGGGGCGTCGGCGACTACGGCCAGCTCGGGGCCGGAGCTGCGCTGGAGCGGCCACACGCGGAGCGGCTGCCTCTGCCGCTCGGCGTCGCGCCTCGCTGCGTCGCTGCGGGCGGCTACGGCAGCGCTGTCCTCGTCGGGCGACACTTCCTAGACACTTCCTAGACACTTCCTAGACACTCACTTCCTAGGCAGCGCTGTCCTCGTCGGGCAGGCGGCGGGCGAGCTGGGGCCGCCGCAGCCTCCCGCCCTCTCCGCCGGGTCTGCCCTCTGCCTCGCAGACGGCCGCCGGTGGGGCGAGCTCGCCGAGCGGGTGGGCGCTGTCTTCGCGTCGCCGGCGCTGCTGGCCGCGTGCTTCGGCGCGGCGGACGGGTCGTACGACCCCGCGGCGCTCGAGGCGACGTACGTGACGCTGATGCGCACGTACGAGGCTGCGCCTCCCGTGGTTGCGGCCCTGCGCGCCTCCATCCCGCGCCTGCTCTCGCACCTCGGCGGCGAGATCGAGGCGGCGCAGGGCGCGCAGACGGTCGCGCTGCTGGCGCTCCTCCGGAACCGCGCTCCGGCCATGTCCAGGACACGCGCGCGACATGTCCGAGACATGTTGCACAGGCGCTGCTCCAGAACCCGCTCCTCTCCCACTCGAGCGAGGAGGCGCACGCGCTGACCCTCGCGGGCCGGCTCGCCTACCTCTCGCCGCCTAGACACTTCCTACACACTTCCTACACACTTCCTAGACACTCACTTCCTAGGCTCGCCTCCCTCTCGCCGCCGGCCTCGCGCCGGGCGGCGGAGCTCCTCTCGGCGGCGCCGAACGAGGTGCTCGGCGGGCGCGTCGTCCGCCCGCTCCGAGAGCTGCTCGAGCGGCTCTTCTGCCGCGGCGGGTCCCTCGCCGCCCTCACAGAGCGAGTGGCGCCCGTCGTCGGCACACTCTCGCTCGCGCGAGACGCGTCTGCGCTCGCCGCCGCGCGCGGGTTGCCCGCCGTCCCCGCGGCCGAGTTTCGCTGCGCGGCCCTGTCGGAGCGGCTGTGCGCCGTCCCGACGCAGCAGCTTCCCAACGGCACACACCAGCAGACCGGCCCGTCCGGGCTGCAGCGAGACTACGCGGCTTGGGCGCAGGGCGAGGCCGGCTTTACCTTCTGCTCGCAGCCGTGGCTCTTCTCGGTAGCGGCCAAGGGCAAGCTGCTGCAGCTGGAGGCTGCGCTGCGCATGCAGCACAGCCAGCAGGTCGCGCTTCGCCACTCGCTCTTTGGGCCGCAGCCGCGGCTGGGCATCGGCGCAAAGCGCGGCGCGCTGGCCTGGCTCCCCGCCGACGTGGCTGCTTTGGAGCGCGGTCGCGAGGCTGTGCACGGCGCATCTTCACACCTCTGCCGGTGGGCAGGTGGCTGCCGCGGATGCGGCGGCGCCGTTTCTGGTGCTGCGCGTCCGGCGCGCGAGCCTCGTCGAGGACGCTCTGGAGAGCCTCGCGGGCAACACGCCTCTCTCGCTGCTCAAGCCGCTGCGCGTGGTCTTTGTCGGCGAGGAGGGCATCGACGAGGGCGGTCTCCGGAAGGAGCTCTTCCAGCTGCTCATCGAGGCGCTCTTCACGGGAGGGTACGGGCTCTTCGTGTGGAACGAGGAGGTGCGCTGCTTCTGGTTCTCAAGGGACAGCCTCGCGCAGGAGGGCGCGGCGGACTACTTGCTCGTCGGCCTCGTCGTCGGCCTCGCCATTCACAACGGCACCGTCCTCCTCCTCGACAGGCTCCACACCCCTGGCCCTCGCCCTCGCCCTGACCCTGGCCCTGGCCCTGGCCCTAGGCATCATCCTCGATCTCAAGGTGCCGACGCTGCTCTTCAGCCAGGTCCTCGGCGAGCCCTCCGCCTCGCTCGAGTCGCTGAAACAGGTCGACCCCGAGCTCGCGCGCGGGCTGGCCCAGCTGCTCGAGTTCGACGGCGACGTCGAGGTCACCTTCATGGCCACCTTCACCGTCGCGGCCACAGCGTGCGGCGAGCCAAAGACTGTGGAGTTGTTGCCTGGCGGTGCCGACCGGCCTGTGACCAACGAGAGCCGCGAGGAGTACGTCCGCTTGGTGGTGGAGCACATCCTGCTCACCGGGGTCCGGCCCGCCTTTGACGCCTTCCGGCGCGGGCTGCTCACGCTGTGCGACGGGCCGGCGCTCTCCTTCCTCTCGCCGGAGGAACTGGAGGAGCTGGTCTGCGGCACGCCGCACCTCGACTTTGCGGCTCTGCAGGCTCGCCCCGCTCGCCCGCTCGCCCCCTCGCCCCCTCCCGGCCTCCCTCCAGCGGCACGTGCCTGGGTGCAGGCGAACACCAGGTACGACGGCTTTCGGGAGACGGATGTGACGGTGAAGCACTTTTGGGAGGTTGTGCACGCCTACTCGACAGACGAGAAGCGCGCCCTTCTGGCTTTCGCGACGGGTTGCGACCGCGCGCCCGTGGGCGGGCTCGGCAAGCTCAAGCTGATCCTGCAAAAGTCAGGCCCAGACTCGATGGCACTGCCGCACTCGCACACCTGCTTTAACCTTCTCGCGATGCCCGCCTACACCAGTCGTGGCAAGATGCGCGACCGGCTGGGCATCGCCATTCACAACGCGAAGGGCTTTGGCCTGCAATGATGGCGGAGCGCGCGTGAGTGAGCCGCCGACGTAGCTCGTGCCCCGTCCGGGAGCTTACCTTTACCACGCTAGGACTCCTTGCGGAGGGTGGGGGGCAGACCCCTCGCGCCTCTGTTTAGTTACTAACGTCTCGCAGAGTGTGATTTCGGCTTTGCCTTCAGGGCGCATAGGCAGGTCTCTACGGCTTTATACAAGTACCGAAGTAGAGAGAGAGGGTGGGCGACCACACGCGCGCGCGAGAGAGAGCGGAGAGCGAGTCGAGAGACCTGAGAGAGAGAGAGAGAGAGAGAGAGAGAGAGAGAGAGAGAGAGAGAGAGAGAGAGAGAGAGAGAGAGAGAGAGAGAGAGAGAGAGAGAGAGAGAGAGAGAGAGAGAGAGAGAGAGCATTGAGAGAGAGAGAGAGGAGGCAGGGACGAGAGAGCAGTACACAAAACAGTGTTGGATATGTGTAAAGTCGTGAATCGCCGTCGATTGAACACAGAGATGTTCCTCCTCAATGCTCAAACGCAACACACTCACACGCACACTCCCGACACGGCACAAGCGCTGTGACACCAGTCCACCACTTCGAAGTTCGATCTGCGCTCTCGGTCGCGTGTGCTCTGCGCGACGGCACATAACCCACCACAACGACGCGCAAGCCAAAGCACCGAGACACACCTTCACCCCCCTCAGAAAGAACGGAGAATGCCCATCACACGATCACGCCTCCCCTGTACAAACCGGTGCGCGTGGAACGCAGTCCCTTCCTGCCGTGGTCAGGCCCCTTCAGCCTGACTCCACGTGGTTGCCTGGCGGCTCGAGCCACGGCGGCATGATGCCGTCCGAGGTCTTTGCCATCTCGGCCCTGAGCGCCGGGTCGCACCGCGCCGCGAGGACGAAGACGCCCTTCGCGCTCAGGCCAGCGTCGAGGGCGGCCTCGATCTCGCTGTCTCGGGCCACGTGCGTGCCGTCGGCGCCGTACGCGCGCGCCAACGCGACCCAATCGCAACCGGTGATCTCGCAGCCCTTTGCGTTCTTGAAGCCGTGCTCGACGCGGCCGAGCAGGCCGTTGTCGATCACGAGGAGGAGGAGCCTGCACCCGTGCTGGATCGCGGTGCCTACGGGACCGCGCCGCGCGCACGTCAAGGACATGTCCCGGACATGTCCCGGACATACCGCCCTGCTGGGTCGCGGCGCCGAGCTCGTTGAGCGTCATCTGGAAGCCGCCGTCGCCGACGATGACGATCGCCCTCGCGTCGCCTCCGCGCTCGATCGACGCCGCGATCCCGGCGCACAGCCCGTACCCCATCGTCCCGAGCCGCTCCGAGGACAGCACGACCGAGCGGCGCGTGAGGCGGAGCGAGATGGAGGCCCAGAGCGTGATATCTCCCGTGTCGACGCAGACCACGTCGCGGGCGGAGAGGCGCGGGCTTAGCATCTTGAGCAGCAGCCCCGGGTGGCAGTGCGAGTGCCTCCCGCTGGTGGCGTCCGAGAGGCGCGCCGCCTGCGCCTACGCGGCGAGAGGCCAAGAGACCTCCTCGAGGGCTCCCGCAAGCAGAGAGCCTCGCTGCCTGCGCCTCCGCCGCCACGCCCGCCATCTCGCACGTGGCGGCCGAGTCGCGGCCCGGCGGCGGGTGGCCCGACACGTGGCTTCCCCGCGCGCCGTCGGAGAGGCGCCCCGCCACCGAGCTCACGTAGCCGCTCAGCCGGTGCCAAGGCGTCGCCTCGTCCCCGGCTGGCGGCGGAGGGGGGAGCTGCGCCAGCTTGGCCATGAGCTGCTCGCACGCCTTGGTCGGGTTGGCGACGAGGGTGTGCAGCGCGCGGAAGCGAGTCGACGAGCCGAGCACGTCGGTGACGACCTCCACCATCGGCCGCACCTGTGGGGGGGGGGGCGTTAGGGTTAGGGTTAGGGTTAGCGAGCACGTCGGTGACGACCTCCACCATCGGCCGCACCTGTGGGGGGAGGGGGGAGGGGGGGGGGGCGTGGCGTGGACCCCTCCCGGACGCGTCGCGGAGGCGGGGCCCACCCGCGCGCTTCCTGCAGCCCGTGCTGGTCACAGAGGAGCACCGTCAGGTCCGAGACGCCGAAGGAGACCACCAGCGTCGACGTCGAGATCACCTTGGCCGCCGCCGCGAGGCCTGGCTTGCCGTGCACGCCGACGACGCCTGTTCAGAGCAGGAGGTGTGAAGAGACGCTGTTCACAGGCGGCTTGCCGTGCACGCCGACGACGCCGAGCGCGAGCGGGTGGGACTCGTCGATCGCGCCCTTGGCGTCGAGTCTCGTCACCACCTTGGAGGAGGGCGGTTGGAGTAGAGGCGGGTGGAGAGGGTGCAGTCGTGCTGTGCGGCCGAGGTGCAGCCGAGGAGCGGGAGGGGGGGGGGGAGGCGCAGCCGAGGTGGAGGCGAGGTGCGCCGGAGACGCAGTCATCTCGGCGAGCCTCAGAATCGCCTCCCCGTCCTAAATTAATAGTTGATTAGCACTTAATGAATAGTCATCTCGGCGAGCCGCAGAATCAATCGCCTCCCAGTCCTGGCGCGCGGCGAGGCCGACCGCGAAGACGACTCGCTCCTGTCAGTCACAACCGGTCGCCTCTCATTGACAACTCAATCAGGCCGAGCGCGAAGAAGAAGGCTCTCGCTCCTTGCCCGAGGCGAGCAGCTCTGCGATGCCGGCGATGTCGTCCGGGTCGCCAATCTGCGCCTCGACGCGCCGCTTCATCTCGGCCGGGTTGGCGGAGCAGAGGTGCTCGGGCGCAGAGAGCAGCGCGCCCTGGATGTCGACGGGCACACCGACGTGAACGCAGCAGTGGTGCGTGAGCGCCGTCGCGACAGCGTCGCGCATCACCGCCACGAGCTGCAGCGGGTCGGAGACCGTGACTGAGTAGCTGAGTCCGCCCGCCGCGAAGAGGCGCGACTGGTCGATGTCCTGGAACTCGGAGTGCGCCAGGTCGCTGCGCGGCTTGGTGCCCGTGATTGCGATGAGCGGCACGCGGTCGAGGTGCGCGTCGAGGAGGCCGGTGACGAGGTTGGAGGCGCCCGGCCCGCTGGTCGCTATGCAAGCGGCGAGCCCGAGCCGCAGCTTGGCGTCGGCCGCCGCCATGAGCGACGCGTTCGCCTCGTTGCGAGTGCACACCCACAGAAGCTCCGGGTGGTCGACGACAGCGTTGACGAGCGGGACGAGCGCGCCGCCGTGGCCACCGTAAACGGTTCGCACGCCTGCGTCGACGAGCGACTGGGCGATGAACTCGGAGGCGGTCACCTTCATGCCGCTCGCGGTGCGTGGTGGTCTAGAAGGTGAGACGTAAGCAGAGAGCACGAAAACAGACAGCAAATCCGCTACGCGAGTAGCGCCGGCGCCGGCGAGCGAGCCTCCAAGTCGCCCCCGATCTGATTGCGCCTGTGTGCGTTTTACGGCTGTGAACGTCCCGGGTGCGTTTTGGAGCGTTTTGCGCGGTGCCTGGCTTTGCCTCTTCTCTAGAAGCTGGGCTCTGGGCATGGATCCGGCGGACAGGAGTAAAAAAATAAGCCGATGATCGCGCGCGGCGCGGGCCGCACCGCCAGCGCCCCTCGGCCTCGCCCACCGCGCCGCCGGCGCGTCCTCTCTCACGCGCCGGTGGCCTGCCGAAACGTCTCCTGCAGGTTGATGCCCGCGCGCGCGTAGAGCGAGGTCGTCGCCGCGGCGACCGAGGCGGTGACGACGGCGTCGTGCGCGTGCTCCATCAGGCAGACCTGCGCCTGCGCGAAGCCGGCGTCGCCCTCGAAGCCGTGCTTGGCCATCACCTCCGCCTGCACGTTGACCACCGCGCGCGCCACCAGCAGCTGGTGCTCCTGGTCCGAGAGCCGCGAGCCGAGCCCCTCCCTGCTGCCCGCCACCTCGGCGAGCAGCGCCTCGTCCTGCAGCGCGTCGACCATGTCGATCGCCAGCGCGCGCGCGGCGCTCCGCTCGATCGGCGGCGCCGGGTCGCAGCCGAAGGCGTGCCGCAGCAGCGTGCGCCACTTGGAGACGTTGACGCCGGCGAGCGCGCTGCGAACCTCGGGCTGCGGGCTCCGCGCCTGCGCTGCAAACGCCTCGGTGTAGGCGTGCAGCCCGGCGGCGTCGGCGGAGAAGCCGACCTGCGGCAGCGTGCGCAGCGTCGCCTGGATCAGCACCGCGTTGGCCGTCTGCCACTTTTGCAGCCGGTCGCCCTGCGACGCCGCGCCCTGCATCGCCTGCACCATTTGCGGCGACTCGAGCTCGCTCAGGATGAGGTGCGAGGAGGTCATCGCCTGCTCGAGGGTGAGCGCCCGCGCCTCGCTGCTCAGCAAGCGCCCTGAGTGCCGCAGCAGCAAAGCGCGGCGAAACATGGGTCTGGCAGCGGAAAAGAATTCATGTGAGCGCCGGCGATCGACGACGGGCTGTGAATGAATCCGTCCGATATCGGGGCCAAAAGCGCATGTCTTGAAGGTCCGATACTGGAAGCCCATATAGGCACCTTACAGCGGTAGTGATCTAATCACCCGAATACCACGTTCGGATCGCTCCTCATCGCAAACCCTGTCAGCAGTTCACCTACGGGTATGTTCGTAAGAGCTACATACACTGAAAATCCGTGCGATCGACGATACAAGGCTGTGAATGCATCCGTCGGCCGACGGGGACGACCATTGCGCTACCTCTTCCCGCTCACTAATCTGGCTAACTAATCTGGCTAAGCATGTTCCCGGGCGCCGCCCAGCTCGGCGAGGTGGTCGCCATCGTGCAGGCCTTGCTCCACGCCATCCTCGTCGAAGGCGTCACCGCGGCGTACGCTCGGCTGATCAAGAGCGCGAATTTGGCGATTGACGACATCCACGGCAAGCCGGACTGGCTCTCGAAGCTCAAGGTGGTTTGCGTGTACTACATAAACGTCGGGAGCATGGTGCCTGCGACGGCGCCGCTGCCGCTCGCCGAGGAGGCCTCGCCGCACGTGCCCGGCCTGATGACGACATGGCGCGAGGGCGCCAACAAGGCGGCCACCAGCCTGCAGCCGCAGGGCGGCGTCGTGGTGGGCACCATCCGGATGGGCTACGGCCACCACCGCATCGCTTACGCCACAACCTCGTGGGCGCTCGGCATGGACAAGAAGACGTGCGCGCCTCGCCTCCGAGGCGGCGCCGCGGCGGGGCGCCGTGAGCGAGTACTCTCCGGCTTGCGCGCAGGTACTTCCACGACCTGCTCAACCTCGACTCGGAGGAGGCGTCCCTCATCAAGACGATGGACCACTTCTACTCGCAGATCTCGCGCATCCAGGCCGCACCACAACCGCCTCCCCGCGCCACCGCTCGGCGCCTCCCCGACTCACTCGACGCCCGCCGCCGCCGCCGCCGCCCGTCCCGCCAGGCCGAGTTCCGCGCCATCGAGCTCGTGTTTGGCTACCTCATGGCCAACGGGGCGACGGCCAACCTCGCGCGCCAGTTCGCGGTCGTCTCGGCGCACTTCCGCACGCTCACGGCAGCCTTCCCGCGAGACACGCCGATCATCTCCTGCTTCCCGTATGTCGGCCTCTCGGCCGTCGCCGCCGGCTTCACGTGCGGCCCTCGGCCGCCCGCCTCGCGCCGCGCCGTCGGCTGCTCAAGGCTGCTCACAGCGAGCCCGCCTCGCGCAGGCGCGTCATCAACCTCGTGTTTGACAACCACGCGCAGGCAGCCCACTGTACCATCACACTGTCATTCTAGCCTTGTGCTTGCCAACCACGCGCAGGCACTCCACAGCGCTGACGTCGCCGACCCCTCCCGACGGCTGACCCCTCGTGGTCGCCATCCCACGCGCAGGCCTTCCACATCGTCCCCGGCGCGATCAACCTGATCCAGGGCCCGACCATGTACCACGAGTTCCTGCAGATGGGCGTCGACCCTAAGGACCTCAAGATCGTCGGCCACCGCACCCCCCGAGGGAGGCCGCCTCCCAGCCAGCAGCTGCCCACTCTTCCACGAGGGCGAATGAATAGGCCACTGGATCCCGAGGGAGCTCGTCGTCAACATCAAGTCCGACTGCAATGCACGCAAGGCCCGCGCCGCCGCGCGCAAGCCGACGCGTGTCCTCTGCTCGGTCGGCGGCGCGGGCGCGCAGAAGACATTCGTGTGCGAGCTGATCCGGGCGATGGCGGAGCGCATCGCGCGCGGCAGCGCGCAGCTGCTGCTCAACGCGGGCGACCACACCCACATGCACGACGCCTTTCCTAGACCTTTCCTAGACCGTTCCTGGAACCTCCCTGTAGGCGACCACACCCACATGCACGAGGCCTTCGCCAACTGCCTCGACGACCTCGGCATCCGCTACACGCTCGTCGACACGCTGCAAGGCGTGCACGACTTTTGCGGCCGCATGTCCTCCGGCCTCGAGCCGGAGCGCGCCGTCACTATCTTCGCCTTCAACGTCTACTTCCCGGCCGTCGCCACCACCGACATCCTGTGCCGCGTCTCGGACGTGCTCGCGTGCAAGCCGGGTGAGCTCGCCTTCTACCCGGTGCCAAAGCTGATGCTCCGCCGCGTGGGCGACCACGAGGTGTGAACAGCTCACACCTCGAGCTGTGAACAGGTGCCAAAGCTGATGCTCCGCCGCGTGGGCGACCACGAGTTCTACTCAGCGCTGCGCGCCTCCGAGGTCGGGGACGGGACGCAGGAGCTGCGCGAGGTCTCGGACGTCGTGCGCTACCTCGACATCTTTGCGAAGTCGCCCGACGCGCTCACGCAGATGAACGACTCGATCCTCACCAACGCGAGCGTCGGCATGTACGACGGTTGCAAGGCCGCCGTCGAGATGGCCATGGCGAAGCTGTGAGGGGCGCCGAGAGGCGCGCCGCGTTTTATTCGGAGCGAGACTGCCGGCCCCCCGCATCGCGCATCTCCCCGCGGAGCGCCTCCGCGCCATGGGCGCTGGGGCGCGAGGAGGTCGCGCGGGGGCGTCTCGTCATTATCTTGTGGATGGGCATCTGCGGGAGGGTCGTGAGGGGCGAGCCTGTGCTAGCGGGGGGAAGACGGCGCGAGAGGGACGGGCCGGCTGCCACCGCGCAGGCGCGAGAGCCTGGGCGTCAGTAAGAGAGATTCACTTCCCCCCGCTTGTCCTTTGGCTCTGTACGCGAAGCGCGCCCGGGTCGTGGGGGCGCGTGGAGCGAAGCGTGGGGTCGTGAGGGGCGCTCTCCGTGGGCGGCGGTGTCTCGTCTAGCATGTCAGATCACTCCTTCTCTCTCTCCGAAGAACAAAACTCGATCACACTTCTCTCGTCGTGGCTCGTGCGCGCCCACGCGCGTGTCGTGGCCGTGTGTACAGACTGACTACAGAGTTAGAGCCGTATACACAGTAGAGGATTCCACCCTCCCCCCGTCTAGAGATACTCTCTGTCTCTCTCTCGTCTCTCTCTCGAGTCGTCAGCTCACTCGAGAGAGAAGAGAGCCGTATGCCGTCGGAGCACACACGGAGGGGTGACTGAGGGGCGCGTCAACGCGGTCGTCGTGCATGAGACATGGCGATGCCACCAAGGCGGGGCGAGCAAAACCTCAGAAGAGTTCAAACAAAAGGCAAGCAAGCAGCTCCGCTCGCACAACACTGGGACTGGGCACGGCACGGGACTGGCGATCATGTCGCAGCGCACAGTCACAATCGCACCATCCAGCGATGCACGTCAATGGCTCCGGCGACTCGCTCGCCGCTCCTCCCGCCCAGCTCTAGATCTTCTGTCGCTTGCTGCCCTCGCCGCCCTCGCCGCCCTCGCCGCCCTCGCCGCCCTCGCCGCCCTCGCCGCCGCCGCCGCGCACGCTTGCCGCCGCGGCGCCGCCCTCCCCACGCCATGCCACCGCCTCCGGGACGACGAAAGAGACGCACAGCATCAGCCTACCAGCAGACAGACGAGGCTCTCTCGGGAAACGGCCCCTCTCGCGCCGTGACCAGGAAGAGGGGGGGGGGGGGTATGCGCTTGTTCGGTGCGACGTCGCGCACGACCGTCGCCTCGGCGCCGGGGATCGTGCAGCCCAGCACCTCCTCCGCCCGCCTACGATCTCGGCGCAATCTCGGCTCAGCCTCGACCGCCCCTGCCGGCGGCGGGGCGAGCGCGAGCAACGCCGAATCACGTCCGCCTCGGGCGCCGCGGTCTCCTGGGAGGCGCAGCAGGGCCGAGGCGAGAGTGAGTCCGTCCGTTCGTTCATCCATTAGAGGAGCAGCGGCAGAGGCGCCGGCAAAGGGAGGAGTGCGGTGTGAAAGTGTGTAACGTGGGGTGGCGTGGAGGTGTGTCAGAGAGCAACCTTGGAGAAGCAGTAGCAGTGCACGCGCGGCAGCGGCGCGTGCCACGTCTCCGCGTCGAAAGCGCCCACCAGCGCGTCGAGAAACTCGAGCGCCGAAGCGGGGAGGTTCATCAGGATGTGGCTGAAGGGCCCAAACGCCAGCGTCGGCGCCTCCCCAGCCCCCTCTGCAGCCGACGTCGCCGCCTCCGCCCCTCCTGCCGCCTCCGCCGCCGGTTCGCCCGCCGCCGCCGCCGGTTCGCCCGCCGCTGCCGCCGGTTCGCCCGTCGCGCCTTGCGGCGGCGCGAGCAGCTGGCGGAGAAAGGCGCGCGCGTCGCTGTTTGAGACGCGGACGCGTGGCCCAACCTGGCGGGATGCTGCCGAGGTGCGGCCGAGGTGCGGCCGAGGTGCTGCCGAGGTGCGGCCGTGGCGCGGCCGTGGTGCGGCCGTGGTGCGGCCGTGGCGCGGCCGTGGCGCGGCCGAGGTGCGGCCGAGGTGCGGCCGAGGTTGCAGCCTGACCTTGTTCCGCAGCACGTTTGTGCGCAGCCACTTTGCTGACTGCGGGTTGAGGTCCTGCAGTGTGAAGACGCCAGAGGTGAGGGTGTGTGAGACGGCGTCGTGCAGAAGTACTCGGAGCACCGCGTGAGTACGGCCGAGCAGAGCCGAGTGCAGCTGCGTTCGTGTCTCCCCTTTGAACACACGCGTCTCTGTCTCCCGCTTCTAGGCTCGAGAGATGGGGGAGGTATGGGGGAGATATGGGGGAGATATCCCGCTTCTAGGCGCGAAGTCGTTTGCGTAGACGCGGTTTCCCTTGAGGGCGGCGGGGACGGCAAAGGGGCCGATGCCGGCCATCATGTCGCAAACCACCTCGCCAGCCAGCCGCTGGGTTAGAGCTGCTCACTCACTCATCGTTAGCTGCTGGGGCGAGCATGCGGCACACACCTCGCCAGGCCGAAGTAGCTCGACGATCCGCCTGCGCTTCACAGCTGGAGGTGTGACGAGGTGGGAAGACGCGGCTGGCCGAGGGGGAGACTCGCAGGCTGTACGCCGGTGCTCTCGCTCCAGCCGCGAGTTCCAGTACACCTGGTGTAGCACGGCACGCTCCACTGAGGCGAGCCGGCCACGCCGAGGAGCTACAGCGGCGGCTTGCAGCACCTCGCGGTAGTCGAGGGCGAAAGTGGCGCCGTTCTCGCGCACCTCACCAATGCAGCCACCCCGGTGGTGAGGAAAGGGACCGAGCAATCCGAGCCACAGGCGCCCCGCCTCGCGCACCGTCGTCTCGAGGTCCTCGTCGCCGGCGATGACCTCCATCGGGGGGGGGGGGGGGGGGGGAGGAATGAGCCATGGACTGAGTCTCAGTCCACCGGTCTCTCCTCCTGCGATTGCCTCCATCGGGAAGACGCGAAACTCGTTCGAGATGGACTCGACCTGCAGATGACTGCTCTATTTATTTATTTATCGTTCGAGATGGACTCGACCTACAGCTCCGCCAGTACTGCTCAACGAGTGGCTAATACTCGTGACGCGAGGGCGGACGTGGGAGGGAGTCGGCCTTGTTGACGACCGAGCGCAGCCGAGGGTTCTTATCGAGGAGCACCTGTTGCGCGAGATACGGCCGAGATACGGCCGAGATCGAGCCGAGATCGAGCCGCCCGCCCTGGTCGTCACCACGCACCTCTCCAATCAGCGCCTTGTACGGCAGATGCTCCTCGCGCAAGTTCATGTGCGCCACGTGCCCCACCTGCTCGAGATACCGCCGAGATACAGCCGAGTCACAGCTGTGTCTCGGCGAGATAGACAGAGCCGAGGTACAGCCGAGATACAACGCAGCTTCATGCCGCGCCACCACCTGCTCAAAGGCGCTGGGCACCTCCATCCCCTCGGGCAGCAGCCGCCGAAGCACTTGCTCGGCGCTGAACTTGTCGTACCTGGAGGAGGGCTCCGAGAGGGTTCCTGGAGGGTTCCTGAAGGGCCCTCCCCGGCACCCGCTCGGCGCTGAAGCCGTCGCACCCGATTGTGACCGAGTGGCGGACGGGTTCGCCGCCCTCTGCAGCGACGTAGTCCCTCAGCTCGTCGGGCAGCTTGGTCAGCTGCAGGTCGTCGATCCCCTCGTCGAGCAGCAGCAGCCGCGTCGTGCAGGGCGCCTGGGGCGGGAGGAGTGGAGGCGGGTGACGCAGACGGCAAGAGGCGGAGAGGCGAGTCGGTCCCAGGGCCGCGGCTGTCTGCCGCACGGCCGTGGGTCAGCGCACGCACGCGCACGTGGGGGAGCTGGAAGAGGTGCAGCCGCAAGCGTTGCGCGGCGACGGCACGCCTGCTCGCCGTCGGGTTGGATGGGCTTGAGCTTCGGCCGCTGCAGGACGTGGCCCTGGAGCGCCTGCATGAAGGCGTTGCACTTGCGCGCGGGAATGCGCAGCGCGATGAGCTGCAGCGAGATGGAGAAGAGGGCGCGGTCGAGGGCCGTCATCGGGCGGGCACGCAGAGCGTCTCGAGGTGTGCCGAGTGCTTGCGGCGCGTCTCGAAAAAGAATTTAAGGCCGGCGGGCGACGGCTAGCGCACCACACCCCTCTCCTTAAAATCCCTGTGTGGTGGCGGCGTGCCGTTCTCCCATCCCTCCCTTGGGGTTTTCCGTTTTCTTTCTTTCTTTCTGGCGCGCACTGGCACTAACACAGGTTACACCACGGGAGCCGCCTAAACGACTCCCGCGAGGACGGCGAGGCACTTAGCTCCGTGCACTCGACCGCCCTCGCCGCAGGCAAGCTCATTCACAATGTGCTCTGAAAAGAAGATAAATCGACTGGAAGACCAAGGCGCGCTTGGGAGTACGTTCGCGAAAAGAACTCGCTCTTTCACAAAAACACAACCCCGGACCACAAGACGAACAAGCACAGACACGATTCTCGATTCACCAAAAAAAATCTGTTGCCGCCGGGCGCCGGCGCACGGAAAAAGAAGTTTATTACAAAGCTCCCTCGCACAACACTGGGCACGGGACTGGCGCGGAAAAAGACTTTTACAACAAAACTCCCTCGCACGGAAAAAGAAAACTGAAACCACGCTCACAATGACGTGTGAGTGTTAGAGTTGTTTGGTATTGCTAAAAATCTCTCTCTCACACGCTCGCCCACACACACCCATGCAATCCTAGTGTGGACGTGTTCTACTACTACTCCCGAGGGGCGGTGTTAACACGTTTGAACACCTCTCGACACCGTGTGTTAACGTTAGTCCACCAATCCCTGTAAAAACTCTGGCTAGGGGTTCGAGGTGGCCCCCACCCAGGGGCCGCCCATCAAAGGGACTGCGGCAGAAGACGCCCAATCTTGCACAGAACCATAATACTTCTCCAAGCTTCGGCGGTTAGTGGTGCACGTGCCTCCCCGTGTTTATGTATGTAAAGAGTGAATGCAGAAGATCGGACAGGGGAGGGACGCGGCCAGAAAGAGGGCGGGCGCCGAGGTTCGAAAGCCGGCGCTTTCGCGCGTTCGAAGGGGCTTTGCACGGAGTTTGTGCGAAATTTGCGGTTGGCCTTCGCCCTGCGGCGAGATGGCACCGCAGGCGGCGTGCGTGCACGAGGGCGGCGGCGTCGAGCGCCGAGCAGCACACCACGAGCGCGAGCGGCAGCGCAGACAACGCGAGGCAGCGGGCGGCACGACCGAGCCGGCGGCGGAGGAGGCGATGGACGTCGAGGCGGTGAGCGCCGCGGACGTGCTGGCCGGCGTGGAGGAGAGCGGCCCGAACTACGCCCTTCCGACGGCGAGGGAGGGCCAGAGGGAGCGGCGGGAGCGGCTGCGGGTGGACGAGACGGCGAAGCAGGCGGGGCACACCATCGTGGAGACGGGAACGCACGTCGAGATCCTGGGCGAGCAGGGCTTGTGGTGGCCGGCCACCATCGCGGGGCGGGAGGCGGACGTGGACGGCCGGCTCGTGCACGAGGTCGAATACGACGGCCACCAGGGCGAGCAGTACTGGCACATGCTTGACGACGAGCAGTGGCGGCGCGCGACCGCGATGCCGACGCCAGCCGACGGCACGAATGTGGCGTTTGTGCCCCGTTTGTACCGCGTCCCGTGCCCCCGATGTTTTCTGCTCCATGAAAACGGCGGAGCTATTCTCGCGTCCACACCACACACCTTGCTCCAACGTGGACACGCCCATAGCTGGGGACACTACTAGGTCACGCATGGCATCAGAAAGAAGTGTTCCATTGCACATGCACGGCATGCACATGTACATGTATCTCTGGGCCCCGAAAGGCGAAAGGCATCTCTGTCTATCTAGCAGCGTCGTTCGCATGCGCCCTCCCCTCCTGGGCGCAAGCGCCTCACGTCTCGACAGATAAGCTCTTGGGTGTGACGAGACGAGCGAGTTCTTCGCCATCGCAGCGCGCAGCAGGCCGAACGCCGCAAACAGCCGGAGGCAGTAGGCCCGCGGGAAAAGAAACCTGAAACCACGCTCGATGAGGTCTACCTCGAATCACCCCCCCGCCCCCCTGGCGAGTACAGACCGCGCCTCACTTTTTCACAGGGGGGCATCCGTCTGGAAAAAGGAGCCCCCCGGCTTTTCGCTGCGCATGCTCGAGCCCCCCGGCGAGGGCTTGTGCTGTGAATAGCAGGCGTGGTCTGTACTCGCCAGGGCGGCCGCAGCGGAGCCCGCCGCAGCGGAGCCGCCGACCGCGTGGCTGCTGCTCGAGCGAGTCGAGTCGGGTCGAGGTCCTACTGTGTGAATTCGCGGAGCGAAGAAAATTTTAAACGGAATACGTCCATTTTTGGAGCTTGGAATACGGCGTATTCCATGGAATACGTGGAATACGGGTGGAATACGGCAGAATACAGGCCTCTGGGAGGTCATTTGGAATACGTGGAAAACGTATTCACACGTAGGGTCGAGGTGGATGCCTGAAGGCGAAAAGTCGGGGCGGAGCGCGGGGCGGAGTGAGCGTGTGGATCATGCGCGTCGTGCGCGAATCGTGCGTTTGGGGACTCGGGATAAAAAGAAAAACAAAAGCGAAGAAAAAACAAGCCGCGGCCCCCAGCCACAGCGTGAGGGTACCCTCTGAGGTGGCTAAGTGAGGGTCTCTGACCCACCCAAATAGTGCTCTTTAACCTACGGAGGCCTTTGGGGGCGACCCGGGGGCACCTCGGGGTCGCAGTAGCCCCTGACGGTCGAAACCGGACCCCGGACCGAAACACGTTTCGTGCGGTGGTGGAGTGGGACCGGATTCTCGCCCTTCTGGGCGCGGGGACGGGGCCGGGGGTGGCAGGCAAGTAGTAATATGCCTTTAGAAGGTCTCGAGGGACACACACACTCTCTCGCGCCCCCCCACCCACACGCTCTGGTGGTGAGGGCTCGACGCGCCCAAAATTCGGCGAAATCTACGCCGGACCCGCGACACATGGATCGCCCCACGTCGCGCTTCAGATCAGCCCCACATATGCCACTCTTTGTGTCGCCAGAGAAGCTGGTGCGCAGCCGAGCCCTGCACGCTCTGCTCCGCATCGCGTACGAGGAGGGCTGGTGGCGCTGCGTCGCCATCGACGAGGCGCACTGTGTGGACTCGCGCCTTCTCTCTCCTACTCTCCGCCCCCATTCTCGCCGCACGCTCTCCCCTCTCTCCCCCCCAGAATACTACTCTCATCCTCTCCCTCCCGATCCCGACCTCTCCCTTCCCACGCCACAAGGCTCCATCTCCGCACTACTTCAGCAATTAACCTAGAACGCTTGATCTGCTCCTCGAGGCGCACCTCGTCAGCCCTCCTCGATGGGCTATCTCTCCGTCTATCCCCCTCGTCCTCCACGCTACTCGAGGGCTTGTTGCGATCTCACTAGCGGCTCGCATCGCACCTGTTATAGCAGGCTCTATCCCCGCAAGCACTAGCGCGGCTGGCCACCACTCGTCGTCCTCGTGCGCTGAGGGCATGTGCTCCTCGCACCACCTCCGCTCTGCCTCTCGCGCACTTATCCCCCCCAGTGGCTCAAGTGCCCGGCGTGGCTGTCGGAGACTCCGTGCGGCTGCGCGATGCGCTTTGCCAGCACTCTCGAAAGTCGGATCTACCCGCTTACTTGAAGAAAACAGGCCAGAGGAAAGCCCAGATTCTTTTTTTACCTAAAAGAAAGAAAGAAAGAAAACATACAACCCAAGCAGTGTTGTGCGAGGTTGGTAAAATTCTTTTTTTACGAGGATCTCCGTTGCGCCTGTGCTTTGTGCTCTCACGAGCGGCCGCCGCTGTGCGCTGAGGCGTACGCAGCTCGGCGTGAGAGCGGCGGCGGCGGCGGCAGTCTGACAGCGTCCTCCGCCGCGTCCGCCGCTGCACCGCGCTCTCGACTTCATGCACTGCCAGCGGCCTCGCCGTCGTCTGCTGCGGCGGCGCTGCAGCGGCGGCTCACAGGTAGGATGCAGCGGCGGCGCTGCGATGGCAGCCTGGTCGCTGCATCCGCCAACTCCACGAGCTCTCGCCGCGCTGAGCGCCCTTCAACCGCAACCGCAGATGCGAGCGAGCAGGCGGCGGGGCCCTTAGCTCCTACTAACTTGCTGCAGGCAGGCGTGACATTGGCGCGGAACGATGGAGTCGGACGACTGCAAGCGGCAGTTGCCGACGACGCCGGCTCCCGGGTATTTCAACCCCCCGCCCAAACTCGCATCGTTCGCTCGGGGCGCGCACGACCCACCCACTCACGCCGCTCCGCGCTCCGCCCCACTTTGGCCTTCAGGCATCCAGCTCGACTCGGCTCGCCTCGCTCGAGCAGCGGTGGGACGGTCGGCGGCTCCGCTGCGGCGCCGCCGCCGCCGCTTACTTCAACTACCTTCGAGACGGTGCGCTGCTGCTTGCATCTCGGCCTGTCCGAGGCGTTCTCCCCTGTCCTGCTTCCTCTCTCTCAGCCTGGCTCGCTCCCTGCCTCCCTCAGGCGGCAGTCTCGGCGCCGACAGGAGACGGCCCCCCCCCCCGCCCTCAGCCAAAGTTCAAGCGGACGAAGATCTCGAAGCCGATGTTGCTCATCCTGACGCAGCATTTCGGTCCGCGCCGGCCCCGCCCGACGCTCCACACCGCACAGCACGCTCGCCGGCCGCCGCGCCGCCCGAGCTCCTCCACCCGCCCAGTCCCACCCCCCCACCCCCCTCCCCGTCCCGCAGAGTCGGACCCGCTGCCCTCGTTCGAGGAGCGGCAGGCGCTGGCGCAGCAGCTCGACATGACGCCGCGCTCGGTGTGTGTTTGGTTCCAGAACCAACGCCAGCGCTTGCTCAAGCTGCAGCGCCAGGCGGAGGGCGCGGAGGCCTCGCAGCGCCACGAGCCAGCGTCCGGCATGTCGCAGTTCGTCTCCGCCGGCGACGAGCTGCCGCTGCCGCTGCTGCTCTTTAGTTGGGCTGCCCGTGAATCCCCTTGGAACCTTCCTGCAGGCGACGAGGAGCTGCCGCCGCTGCTCGTCGACACGTGTGGCAGCGAGGGCGGCGTTGCTGGCGATTGTTGCAGGAGCGGCGACAAAATCCCCTTAGCGTTGTGGCTTTGAACAGGCGACCGGGCGCTCTTGCGGCGGCAGAGGGCCGTGAGGCTTCTTGAGAGGCGGTGCGCGCTCAAGCCATGCTCGCGCCCCCGCCACGCCCGTCGGCCAAGTCCGGCCGGCATCTCATCGCCACATAGCCCGCGCCCACGCACATTTTGCTTTGCGACCGCAGCTCGCGACGCCCACTGCGTGGGACAGTTTTCCGCGCGCTCAATGCCTTGCGCGCCCCTCGCGTGCAGGCGTTCGCAGGAGAGGCAGGCGCGACTTGTCGAGCAAAAGGCGGCGAAGGAGGCGGCGCAGGCTGCTCAGCCTGTGCCTTCCCTCGCTCGCACTTCACGCGCCGCTCGGCCTGCCGCACCGAATCGCGCCCTCCTCCTCCCTCCGCCCGCGCCGCCGCGGCCATGCCCCACCACGCCGGGACTCCTCCGCACCGCAGGAGAAGCTTGTCGAGCAAAAGGCGGCGAAGGAGGCGGCGGAGCAGGCTGCTAAGCCAGTGCCTTCCCTCGCTCGCACTTCACGCGCCGCTCGGCCTGCCGCACCGAATCGCGCCCGCCTCCTCCCTCCGCCCGCGCCGCCGCGGCCATGCCCCGCCACGCCGGGACTCGTCCGCACCGCAGGAGAGGCTGGCGCGACTTGTCGAGCACAAGCAGGCTGCTCAGCCTGTGCCTTCCCTCGCTCGCACTTCACGCGCCGCTCGGCCTGCCGCACCGAATCGCGCCCTCCTCCCCCCTCCGCCCGCGCCGCCGCGGCCATGCCCCACCACGCCGGGACTCCTCCGCACCGCAGGAGAAGCTTGTCGAGCAAAAGGCGGCGAAGGAGGCGGCGGAGCAGGCTGCTAAGCCAGTGCCTTCCCTCGCTCGCACTTCACGCGCCGCTCGGCCTGCCGCACCGAATCGCGCCCTCCTCCCCCCTCCGCCCGCGCCGCCGCGGCCCTGCCCCGCCACTCCGGGACTCCTCCGCACCGCAGGTGAAGCTGTTCGACGCGAAGTTCGGGAAGGGCACCTTCTCAACGACGTTGGAGACGCACGTCAGCGAGAGGTGGACCAAGGGCAGCTTGCGCTACGTCTTTTGCCTCGGCCCGCAGAGCTCGCCAGTGCTCCGCCAAGGGCTGCAGCAGGTGAGCATCACCGGCCGGGCTCGCGGCGGTGTGATTGCGGCCAAGAAGTTCTACCTGGCCGGCGCCACGAAGCCGGAGGCCGAGGCTTCGCTGCGGGCGGCCGACGTCGCCACCGCGTGCATCGGGCGGGAGCGGCTGCACAGGCTCAAGGCCGAGGCGGCTGCGGTGGCGCGCAAGCACGACGAGGCGAGCGTGTGCAACGCGCTGCTCGTCGTCATGTGCGGCTTGTATGCCAAGCCGGCCGGCGACGACGAGGTGGTTGCGGCCGTGCGGCGCTTCGATCTGCCGCGCGACGCGACGCCCGACATGGCGCGCCCCGGGGGGCCCACCTCACCAGGTAGCGGGTGAGAGATTGGGTTAACCCGCGCCCCGCGCCTTGCACATAGGCGGGGCGAGTGGTTGCCTACGCGGACGAGTGCATGGAGCGGCTTCGCAAGAAGAAGAAGAAGGGGAAGAAGTGCAACGACTGGCGGCTGTGCCTTCGGGCAGCGATGCGCGTGCGCGAGAGCGGCGGCTCGCGGCGCGAGGCGGGGGCGGCGGGCGAGGACGCGGCGCGAGCGCACCACGCGTACTGCGAGGCGTCGCTGCAGGCCGCCGTCAAGGAGGCGGAGCGGGAGGCGAGCATCGTGGCGTCGTCGCACAGCGTCCCGCTCGATGTGTGGCAGGACCACCGCAACACCGTCGACGAGCTCCTCTACTGCCACGGCATCGCCACCGTCTCGAGCGGCGAGCTGGCTGACGAGGAGCTGGAGCTCGCCGAGCTGCTGGTCGACGACTCCCACGCCGGAGAGCTGCTGGAGCGCGAGCTGCAGGAGCTGCGCCGCATCGAGGCGCGCGCAGTCGGCGTTTACGGCGCTACCGGGAGTCGCACCCCGATGCCCCGCCCGTGCGCTGTCAATAGGTTTGGGCCGAGGTGGAGGTCGAGCCGGAGGGCGAGCCGGTGTGTGCAAAGATCGGGTTGTTTCCCGCGATGCAGGCTTGTAACGTTTTACCTCGAGTCATTAGGTGCGCTGCTGGGACGCGGAGCTGGTGTACGAGGCGCACTTGCTGGTGCACGCGGCGCTGCTGGCACGTCTAGAGAGCGGGGCGGTTACGACACCGGGCTCTCACGAGTGCAACTACCTGGGTTGGGTCCGCGACATCGTGAGCACCGGCGCGCAGTTCGCGGGCGCCGTTGACGACGACGACTTTGTCCGGTCCGTGCGGGACATGACATACCTACGGCTGAGCTTTGCTCAGGCGAGCCAGTTGCTGTGCACGCGCCGCATTGCGCACTGGGCGCGGCTCGTCCAGGTGCACGGCGGCGGCGATCGCCCCCTCGAGGCGATCGCCGCCTTCGCCGCCGTCGGTGCGAAGCCAGCGTCGTTGCGCGACCTCGTCCAGTACCCGCGCGGCCTCGACCCTCGCACGACGCTAGCAGCGATCGAGCGCATCGGCGTCAGTTTGCGAGCCGGATGCTACCCCCATCTGGCCACGCAGCTTTACACGAGCGCCATGGATGTGCCAGCCGTCGTGGTAGGGGCGGTGGGCGAGGAGGTGGAGGAGGAGGAGGAGGAGCTGGGAGAGGACAATATGGAGAGTGACGCCGAGAGCGAGGACGAGGAGAGCGGGGGGGAGTAGGCGTGTTTGTACTCGGGCGACGCTCGCGAGGTCTCTCTAGACGAGCGCCGCAGCGGGCCGCATCGGAGAGAGAGAGAGAGAGAGAGAGAGAGAGAGAGAGAGAGAGAGAGAGAGAGAGAGAGAGACTCTCAAGGCAGAGCTTGCAAGCGTAAGAAGAAAGAAGAAAGAAATAATCCACAACACCTCAAGTGCGGAAACGGGGCCCCGGCTCCACTACTCTCCACTAGCACCGACTTCCCGATCTAAAAGCCGGTCTAGCAGATTCGGAGAGATCCCGGGTGCACCGGAGCCCACCCAAGGGGGCCCGGGAAGGGTCACGCTGGCGCTTAGACGGCCCCTCGCGGCGCCACGGCGGTACCTTCCGGTCCGCAGGTGTTACATAGCATAAACACCGTCCGTGCAGGGCTCCTAGGCCATCACTGGGTCCACAGTGGACGGACACACAGCCTCAGCCGGCCCGGCGGGCTCCCGACCAGAGCCCGTCCGGAGGCCACAAACGGACACTCTACCGAACTTTACGCCCCTAGACAATCCACCCCGACTAGCATACGGTGTCGTCCCGACCGCCCTGCGGCCCCAGCTACCAGCTGGCGCCGCTCGGCCCGGCTGGAGGCGCCTGGGGCGCCCAAAATCGCGGAGCCGGCGACGTCCTCCGGCCAGCAGCCGGATCGGGCGTCCGACCCGCCCCCTCGGCGACCCGAGATGGTCTCCCCGACCCCCGAGGCTTGGCGCACCGCGGGAGGGGGGCGGCCCAGCCACCCTGCACCGCCCAAGCCGCCCTCTGCAAGCCCAGGCGCGCCGTAGAGAGTGCCGACGCGATGTCGACGATTTTGGCCTGCGAGACGGGGGCGAGGAGCGGTGTGAGGGCGCCATGTGCCCGGGCGACGGGCTAAGGGGCCGCTACACGGGCCGCAGAGCTCACCAGCGCCGGCACGGTGGCTTGATTTATCGCGCCATATTTTTCTTTTTTCTTTTTTGTCTGTAAGCGCACAGCAACGGCCTCACCATGGCTCGCGCGGCAGACGAACGGATGCAACCAGGCGTGCGCAGAGAGTGGTGGTCTGGAGAGGATGGCGCGAGCGGCGTGCGCGCGGGAGTGGCCGGCAGCGTGGCGACAGCACTGGCGGCTGCTGGCTCGGCGGGCTTCCAAGGCCGGCGCTCCTTGCGGGCTCCGGTGGGCACCGCGGCGGCACCCTTCCGCCATCTAGCTTTGTGGCACCCCCCCCCTCTCTTGGCGCTTTCTTAGTGCCCAGTGTTGTGCGAGGGAGTTTTGTTGTAAAATTCTTAACCTGTTTAAATTCTTAACCTAGAGTAGATGTTAAGTCTGTATTTTGTGTATTTGGACTTGGGCTAAAAACACAGTGTATTTTGTGTATTTGCTCCCACAAAGCCAGGATACACACTCGATGGGGACCACTAGATCCTACCAGCGCGCCGCAGGCGAAGGAAAATCATAGTCTGAGGGTTAGGTTTCTGGAGCCTCGGGTGCTTTTACGCTTTTGATCGGGTCATTGTAAAACGGCAGCTTGTAAATAAATAAAACGGACACCTAGTACCCGGGAGGAGGGAACTTCGCTCAGGATGTGTGGCAGTCAGTTTGGCTGAGTGTCTTGTCTTGTGGTTCTGTGTGTCGCTCCTGTGTGACCGTCATCGCCCGTCTAGCGTCCACCCATACCGCGTTGGTGTCCCAGTCGTTGGTCGGACTGTGTTTCGCCTTCCCATCAATCAATCAAGGAGGAGGTGGGCAGGGGGCTTGGAGTCAGTTGTCGGAGGAGGTGAGAGATGAGCTAACGCGGCCTCTGAGAGTGGAGTCGGGGCGTACGGGCTCACTCACCGGGGGAAGACCAGTTGCAGGGGCAACCGGACCACCGCGACCTTCGACAGGGAGGGCCACGCCTCCCCGAACCTGGAGAGGAGCCGGCGGAGGGGGGGGGGCGAGCCAAGGACTATAGAGAGGCCGCGGGTGCGGGCACGACTCGCTGACCAGGGAGAGCGGGCTCGACCTCCCTGCGAGGGGAGCCGAAAAATAAAAGAAAACCCCCGTGAAAAAGGTGGTGATGACACTATCACCTCGGGGTGCACTGGTCATCAGCGCCACTTGATGTTGCTTCAGCTTCCCGCGGACATCCAGCAGCTCGTCTTCAAGCAGCCCGGCCTCGGCCCGCGCGAGCTGGCCTCCCTGGAGGCGACGAGCCGCGCCGTGCGCGCGTTGATCGACGAGGACGTCTGGCGGCAGGCGTTCCTGCAGTCATGCAGACACAACGCACTCGGCCACCCTTCATCATTCAAGGTCGAGTTCAAGCGGCGGTCGACGTGGAGCCGCCGGTGGAAGACGCTGCCGGACTGCGCCCCCGGGACGGTCGGCGCCAGCGCGCCGCTGCCGCTGCAGGCTGCGGCTCGGCTCTGCTCGGTGCGGGCGCCGCAGAAGCTGCGCCGCTTTGCACTCAAGGTCATCGCGTCGCTTCCGCAAGCGCACCCGCCCAAGGCGGAGGTGCTCGTGGTGGACGGGTCGGGCCGCGAGCCCGGCTCCTTTCCGACCATCTCCGCCGCGCTCCGCTGCGCCAAGCCCTACGACCGCGTGCTGATTAGGAGCGGGCGGTACGAGGAGCGGCTCGCGATTGACAAGGCGAGCGCCGCCCCTCCCCCACTCCCCAGCCTCCCGCCCCGCCTCCCGCACGTCCGACTCCGACCCTCCTCCGCGCGCCGCAGCCCGTCGAGCTCGTCGGCGAGGACCCCGCCGGCAGCGTCGTCCTCGTCGGAGTGAACGGCCCCGCAGTCGAGGCGTCGAGCCGCATCCCTTGCCGCGTCGCCAAGCTGACGATCCAGCAGCAGTCGCGGCACGCGGCGCCGGCCATGTCGGGCGCGGTGATCGCCAAGGGGGGCGCGACCCTCGTGCTCGAGGAGTGCGTCGTCTCCTCCCAGACGGGCCACTGTGTCGTGGTGCAGGGCCTGTCGACAAACGCGTACGTGCTGCACAACCACATCTCGCGCGGCAAGGGGGTGGGGGTGCTCGTGTGCGACTACGGCAAGGGCGTCGTCGAGGACAACGAGATCTCGCACAACGGCCGCGCCGGCGTCGCCATCCTCTCTTGCGCAGACCCCCAGGTGGCAGCCAGTCCTCACCCTCGCCTCCCCCAACCCCCCTAAGCCATCCCCACCCCCTAAGTCACCCCCCCTTCTTGCGCCGGCAGGTCCGCTCCAACAAGATCCACGCCGGCCTCGACTCGGGCGTCCTCGTGTCCGAAAAGGGCCGCGGGCGCGTCGAGGCGCACGACGCCGCCCACACCCAACCCCACACCCGCCGACCCGTCCGCGTGCCATCGCGCCCTCCTCCCGCCCTCCTCCCGCCCTCCTCCCGCCCTCCTCCCGCCCTCCTCCCGCCCTCCTCCCTCGCCACAGCCCACCCCACGCCCCTCCGCCACACACGCTTCCGGATCCCACGCCAGGCGAACGACATCTTCGCGAACCGCCGCGCCGGCGTCGCTATCCTCAAGGACGGCGAGCCCCTCGTCCTCTCCAACCGCATCCACGACGGTCGCGACTCCGGCGTCCTCGTCTGCGAAAACGGGCAGGGCCTCGTCAAGGACAACGAGATCTTCGCCAACCAGATGGCGGGCATCGCCATCGGCCGCGGCGGCGCCTCGCGCGTGACCGGCAACACGATCCGCGACTCCAACGGCGGCTCGCTCTGCCTCTCGATGCACTCGCGCGGCGTCATCTCCGCCAACGTGATCCAGCTCGACGGCCGGGCGACGATGCAGGTTCCAGAGGACATCCTGCCGGGCGTGCGGCAGCAGAACACGCTGCTCTTCACCGCGCCCGACGGCGCCGCCGCGCCCGCCGCCGCCTCGCCGACTCCGACCCCGGACTCGGAGCCAGACCCGGACGCCTCGTGCGAGCTGCGCCAGGTGCCGGCGGCGGGGGCCGCGCCACGGTCCCCCCTCTCCCCCTCCCGCCCCTCCCCCAGACCTCACCCCCTCCCTCGCTCACCTACCTGCAGGCGCTGGTCAACTTCCCGCCGCCC